TAATCCCACACACATACACATATGAGACATATTCTGCTGCATAACAATCATTTTAGATTCAACACTACGGTACCTCCTCTGTTGCCTTGCTAGTCCATATAAAAGTATAATTTGTAGAACAAATACTGTAAAGTTTATGTCTGAAAGTCATATTTTGTGTAACCCGTATATTCAAAGTGGATTTATGTGCATACGTGTATATATATTTGCCTCCACAAATTGTTGTAGATGCATACAGGCTCAGGCGCAAAACTCGGGTGGAGGTGGAGTTTTAGATGGATGGTGATGTGTGGGATATTCCAGTAGTATAGTCTCAACAAAGAACCAGCACATTAGTCAGGCAGCAGATAGGTGGTTTCCCCCCGCACAGCATTTGTCAGGAACCCCACCCTGGTCAAGTCAAGTTTGTTGGTCCCTTTGGTCCAACCACGCACTGTCTGTGGCTCATTCACTGGTCAGGCATGGTCGAGATGACCGGTTGCCAATAATATCAGCTCCACTCATTTGAAGCTTCAGACGACAGCAAGGGGGGAACTGTGTGAACTTATATTTGAACCCTAGATCCCAGAAGTTGTGTAACATGATGTCAGTAAATTGCACCCAGTTTGCTCCTGTTCAAAAACCTTGTCGGTCTTGTCGTGTTCACCTTATACCTGATGTTAGCAAGCTGAGCTTTCTCTTAACAGTTTTGTGCTGTTAATGAATCTAAGAGGAGTATAGTGTAATTTCCTGTATAATGCTGATCAGGCCTTCTTTTCTATTGAAGTCTCATTTCATCACTTAGGTTAATAAGATGGATATAAATAGGTCTATCTCACCTGACTTATCTTCAACACAATCTCCTCAAAAAAAATTATTTCCTTTGCCAAAGAGATTCTAGAAGAAATGAAATTTCTGAATGGATTATGTTCACTAGCATTTTTAGCATTCAAGGAAGTGTGATATTTCTATATTACAGAGAGGTTGTAGGGAGGGGTTTGAGGTGAAAACTTTGAAAGTTTGGTGAAACTTTGGTTACAGAGACATGGATTTATGCCCTGCATCCCAAATGTTGTTCGAATTAGGCTAATAACATGGTTAAGGTTAAGATAAAGACTATGTTGGTTAAATAGGGTTAGAAGGGTTAAGTTAGAGTACAAGTTAGGAAAGAAGTCAATGCACCCTATCTAATGCTTCGAGTCAAGTCATGTGAGTCAAGTTTTACATATGCCTTCTCTGATAGCAGTGAGCACTTTGCATGTATAACTACTTTCCCTTCTAATTTGCAACAGCAAAAATTTGAAGGAGTCTTAATAAGGAAATTAAGTTAAGTTAAATTAAGTTAATCTATGCATCTGTCAAGTTGCATATTGATACTGAGTAACTACTCAGTAAAATGTTCACTGACAACATATTTGTTTTCTCGTAATATCTGCTCTTAGCAACTAATGCATGAATAAACACTCACTCACTTCATTTGGTTGAGGTTATGGAAAACTGGGTATTTTAATACAGAAAAAGCTCAAAATAAATGGAAGTACGAAGCACGACATGTTGAGATTTAACTTAAACCACGATTGTTACCGTAGTGCCCTTGTTGTCTATACACTTGACCGCAGGTGGGACTCAGGATGGGAACCCCCTGCCACGCCCACCATCAATGCTGACCACCTTCCATGCATACAATCGAAAAATGTAGTACTACCCTCACTCAAAACAACTAAATTGAAACAGCAATTATGTTCCCCATCACAACATATGTAGGAGAACAAATTTGTTAAATGTCATTTCTAAGAGACACAGCACTGGATAAATAAGGCTTCCTCTATATATTGATAAAAATCTAATCCAGGCAATAACAGTAAATTTGTGCATAGTCTCTACAGTTCTGTAAAGTAAACAGGAAATTTCTGTGCCCCACAACTAAACAGCAGAGTAATGTACTGTAAAAACTCAGCAACATTGAATTTTATTATTATCATAACTTAAAATTACCCAGGGTATAATATTCTATATCATTGTGGTCAGATGACAGTCATATGGTAATCACTCTGTATATTGTTGTCTCTACAAATAGGACAAGAATTCAATTACCAAAGCCTAACGTATCATTATACTGTTGTTCAGCAGTGTCTCTACAGCGTGCATGTAGAAAGACTTATACTGTAGCATTGCAGGTCTTTTTCACCACAGAGAACAGACAGCCTGACATGGTGGCCAATAAAATCAAAAGTACAACAACCCCCGTTGGGTTTCATGGTCACATTTGACATCAATCACTGATGTCCAGGGTCAGCAGTGCGATTTTGTCCGCAGGACTCCTCTGATCACTCCCTCACACTCCTCCTCTACATCAATACTTCACTGGGAGGGCACTTACTGGACATGAGGTCGTTATTGCCAGAATGAAAAAAAAATATATCTTCAACCAGTAATACTGCTGGAGGTCTCTTTAACAGCGCTCCTCAGTCTATGAGCAGCAAAAGGGCAAAACCTGCGAGTGGGCTTTTTTTTCTGGAAAAAGGGGGGAAATTGTGTTGACTTTGGAGTCTCCCTTGTTTCTCTTCATCACAGGAGTGAGGGGTCCAGTGATTTTTATAGGGCATACGGCTGACATTTTGATTTCGGCAGTGTACTTTTGACTTTGATGTTAACCCCTGCAATTTTCCTCGCAAAAAAGGTTGTGACACGTCAGGGTGGTATGTGCAATATTTACTGTATTTTCCTCACTGTACCTTACTCTTTGTCCTGAGAGACGTCTTACATGTGAGACATTAGAATGAAAATGATCAATCACCGAAGCTCCTAAATCCACACACTCATTGTTCACACACAGACACATCAATACACATCCTACATTATGTTCACACTCCATCTTGTCTTCCACTCCTTTCCTTGACCTTTTAGTTATGTGGTCCATGAACAACTTTCTGAATCCTCTCAGTGGTTTAACACACATTAAAGAGGTTTTGCCTGCAGTCAAGGTCTGGAGTCATGTCCATCAAAATACATGGGTAATTCCCAGCATGTACTGTGAGAGTACAGCAACAACATAATATGGCTATGTATCTCTCTATCACCAAAACAAAAATAAGCATGCATTCTGCTTCTTGACCTTGAAATTTTAAGTTAGACTGCAAAATGTACACTGTCATATAGAAACAACTGTTCTTGTGTGGCGTATGGTCTCATAACACCAGCTACAGTTACTCATTTCTATGCAAGATTAATTCAGATTTGACATGTTATGCTCTGGTGCCAAAATTCTGAAGTCAAACCGTGCCCATGTGTTTTTGTTTTTCTTTTCTTGCGCATGTGAAAGACCATTTGGAAGCAATTTTTCTTTGTTAATATGAGTATTATTTTAATTGTAGTAATTATAGGTTAAACTGTTCGACCACTCACAAGGTACTCACCAGCTTTGGACAAGACGACAACTTGACTTCTTTCAGTCCATTTCTCCTCTCCTTTACTGGTTCTTTTCCACAGAAAAATAAGCAAACATTCAAGTCAAAATATTAATATTTTCTGTATTAAAGAAACTTTGTTATTGTGCCATTTTACCTTTTGCATTTGTAATGCTGCTGTAAGAATGTTGTGCCTTTGAGCAATGAGCAATCCTAAATAAAACGTTAAAGTTATATATTCATCTACTGACATTTGGACTTGTGGGCTACTGCTGGAATATAGTTCAGCTCAGAAATATCTTGCACTGTGACAAATCAGCATATGATGGGCAGCAAAAACTCAGTCGAGAAAGTTTTTGGGAGTTCAACTGTTTGCTGGCTAACCTCTTTGCGGTTTCCTCTTTCTGTGACCCCTAAATCACAACAGAGATATAGTAGTCCAGCATTGAGTCTGGTAAAATTTAACCTTCAGCAGACCTTAGTGGTGGGTGGTACAACATATTTCACTTACATGAAGCCTTGTTAAAACTCAATTATGTAAAAGACTTGCCTGGTTAAAGGGAAATTATGTGAAAAAAAATCATATTTTTACATGAAAATATCTCAATTTTTATTTGTCCTTGCTACCAGAGAGCTGTATGAAAAGGGGAGCTAATTCTTTATCTACTTGAACTAGCCCTGGAGGCTCATAAAGTCCTTTAAAGTAGGATTTTCAAGAGAATAGTTTATGTAAACTGTATTAGGGTTTTTGTGAGAAAGTGAGAGTGGTAATTGTCCACATTCCAACAGTTTCAATACATAAACTATGGGACCGTCAGCCGTGAACAACCCAGCTGCTAGCAATTTGTGTAGCAGATAATAATCAGGCTACATGCAAAGCAGCGTTCCTCTGTCAGGCATTAAGGCTGTGGCCCATGCTGTAAGGGATTTGAGACATTTAAAGGAATGGTTGGTTTAGTTTAAATAACCTTGGACAAGAGGAAAAACTAGACCTCCACTGGCCACATTAACAATCTCACTCCAAGAGCAATCCAGATCATTTATCAAGATGAACCAAAGCATGAGTACACTCATACTGTAGTCTACACAAAAAACACATGTGGCATATCACATATTCTACACATCTACAGTAAATTTTCAGAGGCCAGTAGTGAACATATCATGGATTCCAGTTTTAGAAATGATCTGAAACCAAAAGCTTGTTATAGCCTTTTTATAGAAGTGTTTGCTTGTCAGCTCCAATGTAATAGACATTGCGGTGGATTACTTTTAAGAAACAGAATAGCCAAGCGATTTATTACGGAGAGACACATTTACAAAACCCAAGTGTAAACAGAACAATAACACAAACAACTCTAATGACAAGTTCTCAGAAGAAGCTATGGCAAAAATTTCAATGTCTTCAACACGTGCAGACACAAGCAGCAACTGCAGCGTCCTCCTGCTGTGATTTATGTCCCTGCTTTCAGTCTCTCAGGGTCCTCCTCAGCACATGGTCACCTCATGAACAACTGGGCGAGATATTTGATTGGTTGTCAGGCCGGACTCATAGACTGTGTTGTATGACTTTTCATTGGTGCTCTATTCTTACAAGAATGATCTAGTTTCATTTGGGTCAGATGGCTCCCTCAGCAATGCCCTCACAGCAATCGGGCGGCTCTAAAGTTTCCAGGAAACTATAATATTTCTTCAGTATGAGAAACTCCTTAATATAGGGCTGATGAAGTGACTACATGGGGAGTAAGAGTAGATAAGGTAAGGTTACAAAACGCTGAAATTATCTCATCAGAACCTACATTTTAATATTTCAAATCACAAGTGACAGAATAACTTCTTACATTAATAGGTCTACATAAAGTTTTATTGAAGTCCATCATTCATCCTGTCCATGTAAATTGACTAGTGGTTGTCAAGTAGTAGCCAGCACCATCTGATACAGAGGGAGATGTATCAGGTCAACACAGAGCTGCCACTGATCTGGATTTTTTCCCCTCCACTCCAGCGCTGCCCCAACAGGTGCTGCTTCAGTCGGAGAGATTAGGTGATCAGTGTCCTCAGATTCCTTCCCACTTGGAATGTCGTACACGCAGAGGAGGACAGGCCTTTCTTGACTTCCTGGGGGTAGGTTAAGGTAAGGTGGGCAGCTGGATAAAAGGGTGAGGGTGACTTGTTGAGGAAGAAACAATAAACTTCAATGCCATATTGTGAGACTAAGAGCTAGAAATGATTAATTGATCAATCAGTGCCAAATAAAGTCAGTTGCCAATTCTTCTGATAATTGATTAAGAGTTTCAGTCAAGTAAAAATACTAAACATTCCATAGTTGTAACTTCTCAATTGTCAGGATTTGCTGCTTTTCTTATCTGAGAGTGAATGTTGATCAGTCATGTCATATTGTCATATGGTATTCAAGAGGAAGTGACAATGTTACATAATTAATCAAATAACCACTAACTCTGACACATCATGAAATGTACTGCTGCTTTCCAACTAAGATGTTAGATATCGAATTAATGTCTAGTGTAATGAGACTATCCTCCCAGGAGAAACGACAGTCAGTCGTTTCAGCAAGTACTCCAACATGGCATCTGTTTACATTCAAGTGACAAAACCCTGATGAAAGCAAATGAGGAAGTCATGTAACATTATTATAGACTGACAAAGTCCATGTAGGGAGGAGGTTGGAGCTTATGGATAGTTAAATTAAAAAAAACACAAAAACACGGTAGACCGTTAATTTCACAGTTCATTTGGGTCAACTGGGCTGCTGGTTGAGTGGAATCTGAATGGCTTGTCTATGGCAGAAGAAGCAGAAGCACGTACTGCTGTGTCGAAGCATGTTCTGTCAGCCTATTGCATCATCTCTTTTTTGATATGCCAACTTTTCCACCTCAGCCAAGCATAAAAGCTTTTTTGCAATATTTTAGCAATTTCTGGCATTTGCATTCAGATTTTTTTGTGCAAATTGAAAATTCAAGCAGAAGGAAATGTAGCTTTAGTGCTTATAGTGCATTTATTTTGTTGCATAAAAGTAATAATGAGCAAATTATGATGGAAATTTGCAAGCAGGGTAAAGGGGTATTCTGATTCTTAGTGAGCGTTAAAGTCTGGCTGTCAGAGGGATTGAGCATGGAGACAGTGATTATACAGTAAGGGTAGTGGAGGGTCGTATGGAGATGGGATTGCAGGCCTGGTAAAAGGAGGTCACACATACTTTGTGTCCCCCAGGGAGTCGTGCAGGACGAGACAAGAGTGGTGCCTGCGTTTGAGGTGCAGCTCCTGGGCGCCACACAGATGAGCTCATGAAACGCTATGCTGTCCGCCTAGCCGGGGGTGGGGGCGTGGAGGGTGAGAGGAGAGGGCATCCCTGCCATCAATCACCCAGGGTGGAGCTGGGACCCACTGCTCCAGGATCAGCCCGACAGGCAGGAGGAACATGGGGCCAAGGCCACATTAAAGGCATTGAGTGTCCCCCCTCAGCATGAGAGGGTGGGGATGGAGTCAAAGGAGAGAGGCTGAGGGGATAACAACCAGGAGGTGTGGTGCCAAGTAACTGGAGAGGTGTAGCTGAGCGTGGAGACAAAGTCAGGAGTCGAGACAGGGGCAGGGGAGGGACACTTCTGAGGGATAGCGGCCTGTGAAACCTGAAGACAGAGGCAACGATGGAAAGAGACATACATTGTCAGAACCCCCGGCTTATGACTCAAAGCTTAGTCCATGAACTCATCACCTTTGGTCACATGTTGTGTAGCTTGGACAAGAATTTCTTCAATGTGTCCATGCTTGCTTAAAGCCAGGAGTCGGTCAGGAGCAATTTCAGAACGCCGTTCTGGGCAGGAGTGTGATCCACCCTTACGTGTTGGCAGCAGTTATGGACGCTGGGTGAAATGGTCTGCCGGCACACAGGCTCACACTCAGGGTATCTGGTGTTGACAGACAGGCAGCAGACACACCAGGTACCAGTCAAAGTCCATCATGAGGCAGCTCTGGAAATTCATTCGAATACAGACAATCCTTACAACGTGGAGAGTGAACATGAACTTTCACGATTGTAGTATTCTCAATAGCTTATTTCACAAAAATAAATGAAAAAAGTTCAGGAAATTCATGCTATATTGGAGAAAAAATATGTGTTTATACTGTAATAGTATATTTGTTTCAATGCAGTTTTTTGCAGAATATATCTGCAAAATATCTATACCTATAAAAAGATTCAAGTGGCAGTGAGTAAGTGTACAGCCTTTTCTGTTTATTTTTTTTTTAAATGTTTGCTGCAGAAAGTATCTGTCATTCCAAACATAAATAGAAAAAAGGTACAATTGACCCAACTATGCAATCCTGGGTGTAACACTTACATAGTAACATAGTAACAGTAACATAGTTTTGTAATGAAACAAGTCCAGTGGGTAAAGTGAGATGTTACAAATGAACAATGCATTTATTTATTTAGAATTTACTTCTTGTATAAGTCACATCATTTTTATCATCATAAAGAAGAAAGGAATGCCTTTTATATTACTGAAAAAAATAAACTTAAATTAACAAACACATTCATATATACCATTTTAACTCAAATATAATAGGAATTAAATATTCATGACCAGGCATATTTTTTACATTTAAATTAAATTATTTTATGAGAAAATCACAGCTCTTTGTAAAATGAAAGGTACATTTCTTACAATTACAATTACAATCTAGAATCAGTGTTCCAATTTCAGTACACATACTTTTATTTACAAGCCAGAATATAAAATAAACTATGTTAGTCACACTCCTCCCTTTTTACATGTAGATGTTGTCTAGGAGCAGATTGCACAGTAACCCTTGCACGCTTTTTAACTGGAGCACCTGTGATGCATAAATCTGTAACAAACTCCTAGGCTAGTATGTTACATTTCTAATAAGCGTCACCAAACAGGGAGGGGGGTAAGTGAAAAAGAATGGCTACTGTATGGTTTGTAATAAGAGCCAGCTGTGGCTGGCCATGTGGGCTCTGCGCCGGGAGCATGATGCTGGAAGATTGCGCCAGGGAGAAGCTGGCAGGCACATCATAAATCCAGCTTGTTGGGTATGGTTGCTTTTTGGGATGACTCGAAACAAGCAAATTGTCTTTTACTAAGAGAGAAATCCCTGTTGAGCATACAGCACCTATTCAGACAAATGGACATAAGTGAGCAAAGGTTGCCCTTACCTCACTGCCTTGTCTGCAGCTTTGTCCCCTGATATTTACTTTTGACAGTGACAACCTGCGACAGTGAACACTTACACTTTCTGGTATGGTATTGCACACCAAAAATACATGTGCATTAGAAATATATCTGAAAATAAAATGATGTCCAAGCCTTGTCACCTTGGTGTTCTGATCCAACAAGTTGCTGGATCTGCTCCAGAAAGCAACAGGACAGACCTGGTAATAATTCTAGGAAATGGGGTGGCATTTCACAGTGCTAAACCTGCCCCAGAAGAATTTTTCTGTGTCCTCTGTTTAAATAATTAAAGCAGCGAGAATCTGAAGTAAACCATACTGTCCCACATTTTCTTCTTCTCTCTCAGAGCCACATGCAAACATGTGAAACTGTGTGTAGGTATGAAAAAGAGAAGTAAAAAAGAAACATTCCTGTCTGAGCAATCACTGTAAGCACTACATCATGTTTATTAACAGTACTAAATCAGAGTCTGTACCGCAGAGGGGAGCTACAATACTCCTGAGGAGCCTCCAGAATGACTCCGCCTGGGTGAGCACAACATTGCACATTTGGAGTATGTAATAGGAGGGGTGGGAGTTTTAAAGAAAGAAATCTTTTCTGTATACCCTCCTTTCACCTTTTATTCTTCCTCTGTCCCTCCTTAGTCAAAAACGCATTCATTTAAGAATTTCCTCTGAAAGTGAAGGTAAAAAGATATAAATAGCCACATCCTTTCTTTGGTTCATTCTATCTCACTTGGTACGCACAGAGACTAATACATTTTTTTTTATTGATATAATATTTAAGGTCAGAGTCAGTGAAGAAAACTGCTCCAGAACACCATACAATGGGAAAAAGCTCCTTTAAACCTTCTACCTCCATACCAAGTATCTATCTTTGCCTTTCTCTTCTCTCTCATCCACAGCTGTAGACCTCCAGGGCCCCCCGCTCTCTGTGTGGGCCAGGGGCTGCGCCCAGGACCCAGGCAACCAGGGATGAAGTGGTAAATTCACACACATGCCCTTGTAGCCCTGCACTTCCTGCTCTCCGACAACTCCATTGGCCCCTGCGTTTGTAATTACCACTGTGAGCAAATGCGCTCTCCCTTGGCTACAAATTGCTGATAAGCTACTTTTCTAAAACACAGTCCACTACCATCCGTCATTAGCAACATGATCTCATACTGTATGCCCACCCTGGTGCCTGTGAAAACACAAGCTCCAAGTGAGGGAGATTTAAAGTGTTAAAAATAAGCTTTTCTTGTCCACTCTGAGAGTACCTCTGATATTAACCACTGCGTATCAAAGTCATGACAATGAAATTAAATGACAAAATAATTATTTTAAGTTGTTCAGTAAAATTTCACCAACGTGTATGCTACCAATGTGTATGCTTATGGCTTAAAAAGAGAACTGACAAAATTACCCAATCTACCTTAACAAGCATTCAGTTAAGTTATGTTGGTACTATCTTTTGTATTAGCTTTGCTTTTCTTCATTGAAAATATATGTATATGTATATGTAACTGTTGCTAATATATAACTGGGATGACTAAGGGTAATTAGTTAGTGGATGATGTAAATGAGAAGTAAGGTAGTTTGGCAGATTTAATAGCAGAGCATTATGGATAAATGTGATACATTTGGGGTATGACAGGAAACCATGTATCAAAATAAGTTTTTGATTAAGAAGTGATGACTGAAAAGCATCAAAGGTAGACTAAAGATGAACTGAAACTGATTGAGATGAGTGAAACCAGTGTGATGTAAAATTGTATCATCTGCATAAAAATGGTCATTTAAATTGTGATTAGGTGGAATAATGTTATCTATATATAAATTGTGATGAACCAAGAATAGAACCCTGCGGTTCCCTATTATTTATTGAAAGAGGACGACTCACCACCAAGGCTTGAGTATGAGATCAACCCAAACTGTACTGTATGCTGAACTAAACCGCCAATCCTCTGAACCTTTGCCTCTGTCTTTGTCTATGACCATCATTTAAGGATATCAGCCTTGTGTGTCTTTGGATAAATGGAATGGAGTTTGTATTTCAAATGTGTGCTTTTCTAATTATATTTACGATATTCAGGTGCACCTGTTCTTTCCTCTTTGGATGAAGAATTGTTTTCAGGCAGTCATGGTTTTTATTTGAGGTTTAGTAACAAGGTGCTCTTGTTGGAGTTTGTTTTGAATGGCCATAATACCACTGCTTGCTTCAAAGTGCTGCTCAAAGCATCAGAATGCTCTGACAGGGGAGGGGGGAGTTTTGCGCCCAAAAACCACAATCAGAGATTTGTGTGGTGAAGCGTGCCTTGGTGTGAAAATTGGCAGGATTTTAAGTGTCTGCAAATTCAGTTCAGTACCTTCTTAACACTTCTAAGACTGATCAACTGCTTACAAAAAACAACTTTGAGGAATAATTATTAAGTTTGCAAAAGGTACGAATGATGCAGCTGAGAAAAACTGTCCAGTGTGGTCCAACAAAACGTCATATGAACTATGTCATTTGAAGCACGCCGATGCTTTTACAAGAGATGGGTGGAAGGAGGTGAAAGGTACAAGTGAGATGGGGCGAGGCAAGGACCTGCTTGTAAGGCCTCCAGGCCGAGGGATGCTGAGTACTCCTCACCCGGGCAAAGGTTCACTCCGATCATCTGGGCCAATCTGTTCCAGACGTGGTAAATGACACATTATTGGATCCAGACCTGACAGGGGCTTTGTGTATATTACATTACCAGACACCAGGCTCACTTAAGCTTCATTACCTACGTCCCTCCTCCCCACCAAGAAAGAGAAAAAGGAGAGTTAGAGGGGAAGAGAAAGGCCAACGTAGATCTTACCCCAAGCCATGCACAGAGGGTGCTTTTTCCTCCAGGTCAGGCCAATACTTTGCAGTCAGCTCACCATCACACAGCTTTCTTTCTCCCTCTCTCTTCCTCTTCTTTCTTCTCCCTGCTTTCTGCGCTGGGAACCCGTTAAATATAACAACACCAGAGTCCACCCTGGAACACCCAAGACGATTTTGCCCGCAGGGATTTTTTGGGGAGATATTAGAAACACACCAGAGAGGTCACCCCACCCTCCTCTCTTCCCACAGTGATGGAACTAACTGCGTGGGTTGATTTGAGAATTATGAAGTAGTATGGATGCAGAAAATGTTTTTAGTCAGGCTTGTTGGTGATACTGAGTCAACCCATTCCCCAGCAACTACAAGTAATTACTTATTTGAATGAGGCATGTTTATGACCAATTTATGTACAAAACCGTCACATCTCCCCTCAAATTAAAGATTGACTCCCTAAACCAAATTAAAACCCTCAAGACTGTGAAGCTACTGTAGCAGCAACACTGAGAATAACATCTTCTGTGGCTTGGATGCCTCACGGTGGGATATGTGCCACAAGCAGTTGGTGGATTTGGCTAAAGCTTCCTTTATTTCGATGACATACGCATGAACACCCATACCACAAATTTCTGGCAGGGACCACTTGCTTAAGTTTCCATTTGTTGCTTCTTAAACTGCAGACAGGTGTGTGTCTTTAAATGTTAGCATCTGTAGGAGGGTGCGTAAATCCATAAATGCTTGTATATGACACTGCTCAGGTATACATTCCACAGTGCAGTCTTCAGGCTCAGATTCCTTATTTAACATGAGGGCATTGTGCTGCAATCTAAGCATGTAATCCCAGACAGGCAGAGGCGATTTGTAATAAAATGATTTTGTGGCCACACCTATTGTCTTAGTGCTTCTACTGTTGTCAAATAGATTACCCATGATGATTTACACCCTATAGAATAGCTCTCTATAACACACAGATCACCACACCCTCTTGACCTCCACCCGCAGAGACCATAATCACATAACAAATGGATCTATTTTCCGAACAGCAAGAATTTAAATGACAATCACCTTCCATGGTTTCTCTGTTGCATCACCTGCCGGGGTGCAAGGACAGA